CAGGGCTCGGATGGGACAGGGACAGGGACGGGAGGTGACACCGCCCTGCTCAGGGCTCGGATGGGACAGGGACAGGGACGGGAGGTGACACCGCCCTGCTCAGGGCTCGGATGGGACAGTGGGACAGGGACGGGAGGTGACACCGCCCTGCTCAGGGCTCGGATGGGACAGGGACAGGGACGGGAGGTGACACCGCCCTGCTCAGGGCTCGGATGGGACAGGGACAGGGACGGGAGGTGACACCGCCCTGCTCGGGGCACAGCGTTCATTCACTGACTCGGCAGCCTGGTGGTGCTGGGACAGCTGCGCTGCTGCCCAGGGCTGTGCCAGCCCTGGTGACAGTGATACAGGACATGGGGATATCGGGATATTGGGATATCAGGACATCAGGATATCAGAACATCAGTCTTTCGGACTATCGGGATATCAGGATATCGGGACATCGGGATATCTGGATATTGGGACATCGGCATATCGGGATGTCGGCCTATCAGGCTTTCAGGCTATCAGGATATTGGGACATTGGGATATCAGGATATCTGGATATTCACTGCTGGCAGCTCTCAGGCCGGCTCTGCCCAGCTGCTGTCGCGTGTCCCTGGCCCACCCCGCGCTCTCTGCCCCGCGGGCACGCTCAGGATGCTGCGGCTGCTTTTCCTCGAGCCGGCTCCTCCATCCCGAGCCGGCTCCTCCATCCCGACCTGGCTCCTCCATCCCGACCTGGCTCCTCCATCCCGACCTGGCTCCTCCATCCAGAGCCGGCTCCTCCATCCCGACCTGGCTCCTCCATCCCGACCTGGCTCCTCCATCCAGAGCCGGCTCCTCCATCCCGACCTGGCTCCTCCATCCCGACCTGGCTCCTCCATCCCGACCTGGCTCCTCCATCCAGAGCCGGCTCCTCCATCCCGACCTGGCTCCTCCATCCCGACCTGGCTCCTCCATCCCGACCTGGCTCCTCCATCCCGAGCCGGCTCCTCCATCGGGCCGTGGCGATGCCCGTGCCCGCTCGCTGGGTGGGGACAGGGGCGCTCCGTGCTCCCACCTCCGGCTGGCACAGTCGGGAGCCGCTTCCAACCGGGGTCTCGTTTTTTTCTTTGTTTCTCTCTTCTCCTTTAATTGGCTGGAAAAGCAGAGCTGGGTTGGCACCTCCCGCCTGCCGGAGCCTGCCAGGCTGGCGGGACCCCGCTCCTGCGGCCTTGGGGTCCAGGAGAGGGGCCGCGGGTCCGTCCCGTCTTCTCCCCGAGCCCTGGGGTTTGCTCGGGGCACCGGGAGCCTCTGGAATGTGACCCCCGGCTCCGAGCCTGGAGAAGGAGCTCAGGAGTTCGGCTTCACGGGGATGGGTGGAGGGAGAGGATGATCCTTCATCCCCCGCCCTGCGCGACCCCTCTGCACCCCCGGGGGCTCCGTGGCCCTCCCGTCCCCTTCCGTCCTCCCTTCCTGCTCTGATTTCCCTGGATTTGGGCAGCACCGGGAGCACCGGTGGGAACCACCCTCCTCCGACGTCTGCCGGCATCTTTTGTCCTCGGCTGGCTCCGGGACCCCGGGGCCGCCCCCGGCCGCATTCCCCCCACCCGGAAAGGGGGAAAGGAGCCCGGGCTGAACTCGGGATGGAGGTTTTCAATTACACAATTAAATGCACAATTAGGTGTAATTACCAGCGCTCAGAAGGTGCGACTGTTCATAATGGGCTTGTAATCTACTGCCGCCACTGTTTGTACTGCTCCGCTCCGCTCCCTAATGATTATGGAAAGCTTTCCCATTTGCATGGTTGCCATGGAAATGGGGGGCTGGCAGGAGCGCGGGGATGGCGAGGGGAGCCCCGCACTCCCCTGAGCCCCCTCGCAGCCCCACATCCCCTCGCCGTGGGGTGGGAGCGACCCCTGCGGCTCAATGGGGTCACAGGTGCCGGCATGGAGGGATCCTCCAGGGATGAGATCCTCCAGGGATGAGGATCCCCCATGGATGAGGTCCTCCAGGGATGACATCCCCAGGGATGAGGATCCCTCAGGAATGAGATCCCCAGGGATGAGATCCCTCAGGAATGAGATCCCTCAGGGATGAGATCCCTCAGGAATGAGGATCCCCCAAGGATGAAATCTTCCAGGGATGAGGATCCCCCAAGGATGAGATCTTCTAGGGATGAGATCCCCAGGGATGAGGATCCCCCATGGATGAGATCCTCCAGGGATGAGATCCCCAGGGATGAGGATCCCTCATGGATGAGATCCTCCAGGGATGAGGATCCCCCATGGATGAGGTCCTCCAGGGATGACATCCCCAGGGATGAGGATCCCTCAGGAATGAGATCCCCCAGGGATGAGGATCCGCCAGGGATGAGGATCCAGAGCAGGCCCCAGGGTGGGAAATGTGGTTTTAAAGGCTGAGAACCCCCAGTTCAGCTCGGCCCGGCTC